AAAATTAATAGAAAAATCATCAAAGGTACAAATTAGAATCCGTAAATTCTGAGAGTTTGGAAAATGGGTATAGTTTGTTCATAAATTTTATTATGATTTTTAGTGACCTCCAACTTGTGTTAAAAAGTCCATAATCACAGACTGGTCCGGATTTGTTCTTGAAATGATAGACAGTTTTGTAAAAATCACCATAAATTGTAGAAAAATCGTATGGAGATGTGCAAGTAGTCATTTTAAAGGTATAAATCTTAGCTATTTGCACCTAATACCGTTTTGAAAACTAAAATATTTACGTACACCAAAACAGTCCGTGAATGGAGTTAAACTTTTCTGATGAAAGTTGTTGAATGAGTTTAGTTGTGTTCTTGGTGTTTTAACTTGTATTCCCCCCCCCCCCCCCTTAAAACTTAAGAAAAAAGTGAAAAGATAGGGGTATGAACTCACCTTGTGTGTTATTAGTGGATGGATGTTGAAGAAAAGAAGTGTTCTACTCAATAACACTAAGAAGATGCTTTGAAGGTTCGAAGATCTAACATGAATGTGACGATGTTTGTGTAAGATATCAATAATTTGAGTAGAAGGAAGTGAAATAATCATGTGGGGGATGATAATACTTACCAAAAGCAGAAGAAAATCTTGGAGAATGGCCTTGAATTTTGAAATTTAGAGAGAGAATTGAGAGAGAAAGGTGTTCATCTTTTGGAGAAAAAATGAGAGAAATGTGAGGTGAGAGGAGGGTTTTCTAGCCCTTGACCAAGTGTGTGGCTGGAAAATGATGGGAACTATGGAATGACTAGTTATGTTGGAAGGACAAGAGTTGGTCATGGAGTGGGCATGGGGTGGTTGCTTCTGTGATACACTAAAGCAAAGCCAACACTCCACCTTAAGTATCCCACCCACTAATCTTGGGCAATGATTGCAATCAAAAACATGATTATTCATGAAGTATGGGGTTTTATATGTTCAAACATGATTTTAGGTGAAAATCCCACGCAAAAATAATGAAAAACGGGCCTAAAATGAAGTCGGAGTCGAAAACCAGGAAGAAAGGCTGAATCTGTGAGGCTTCTCGCATGGGGGACCGAAGGTGCGAGGGTTTGCTCCTTTAGAGGGTGGGACCGAAGCTCAGTTGTGAGGATAGGACCGAAGGTGTGTGAAGCGAAATGGCCCGAAGGCGAGATGATCCGAAGGCGAAGGAGAAAGGAGGGTTCGGTCCGAGAGGACCTTCGGGTTCGGTCCTATGCGAGGTTCGGGTTCGGCTCTTCCAGCTTCGGTTCTTAGCAGGTTCGGTCCCTATAGGGGACCTTCGGCCCTAAGAGGGTTCGCTCCCCAAGGGGTGGTTTCGGTTCCTTTAGGTTGTTTTACCCATTTTACCCTGTTTTAAGCGACTTTTGACCCGGTTAAGGGTCGGGATGACCCGAATGATTTTTCAAAAAGTTATAGGAACTTTTAAGAGAGATTTGGGAGAGATTTTTAAGAGAGAGAGATATAGAGTGAAAGAGATTGGGAGAGGCTTCTTTTGTGACCTTTTTGAGTGTTTGGCTTCGCAACACAAGGTCCGTAAACCCCGTTAAGCCATGTTTAAGGATCTTACTCACTCTCGATGAGTATGCAATATTGTTTTACCGCTTTGGTTCATTACTTACCACAGTTTTAGGTTAAGAAAATCTAGATATACAAACTTTTCAATTGATGATTTCTCATTAGAATAGCGAGTTGCACAGTAATTTCATAACGTAAACCCTAATATACAAGGGTTAACTGAGTTGACTGGTTTGACTTGTTGACTTTGTTTGACTTTGACTTGACCAGAATTTGACGGTTGTCACACTTTTCTACTAAACATTTTGTAAAACTGCTCGATGACCCGTCCAAACCTATCCACAATCACATAGAAGTTTTCTTCGTCCCAAAGCCTTAATGACTTGATGTTAAGGACCACATTCCTACATTTGATTACTTGGAGCTTGTATTCCAACATCTCATGTCATTCATGTCCTTAAATCTGACAAAGGCGAAGTAGTGTCTCCGAAAGTCTTTTTTTCCCACCCATGTAAACATCGAACGCCTTTCCGAATTGGCTAAAAGGTTTCCATATTTCCCCCTTCATTGTACCACTCGAGAAGCCTGCTAAATAGAAATTTGTTAGTTGTCCTCCGTGCTTTGAAGTCTCAGATTTTCTTTGTCGGGCTTTCGACCATCCACCTGGATCATTTTCAGTGATTACACTTTGGCCTCGGTGATTGTTAAAATTTATTAACTATAGTGATTTTTGATAATTTGGTAGGAAGAGGTTACTGATTTCAATCGATGTTATTATCCTTGCATATATTAAGCGTTCAATTGAGGGCAAAAATCGGTGGGAAGAGGTTAACGGTTTGGCTCGATAACCGAAAAGGACAAAGTCCAAATAAAGAAGAAATAAAAACTATTTATTAATGAACATGCTTATTTACCCATGGTTTTTTTTTTGTTTTTTTTTCTTGAAAAAAATAAACTAAAATCAAATTTATATGTTTTTATGCTCCACAAATAGATATCGAGCCCTAAACATATTTTTAGCACTTATATTTGATATTTTTGTTATTTTTAGGGTTTTAACTTTTTACAAGTTTGAACTAAATTATGAGTTTCAAACCTTTTTTTCCCTGAAAAACTAGTTTGAAGTTTTAATGGAAAATAGGCTGAAGAATAAAATTCATTGTTTTGTGACTAGGGATGTTAACATTGGCAAATAGGGCGGGAATTGCATTCCTCCGCCCCTGCCCCCACCCCCATTTCTCCACCCACATTTGCATAGACTTTTTTGGGCGCACGAAGGTATTCTTTGGGTTAAAAGAAGTTTTTTGGGGGTTAAAAGAAGCTATTTTGGATAAAAATAGTTATTTATATCATAATTTTACATGTTTAAAACAAAATTATTATAACATCTCAAAAACGTTATACTAATAATTTAAAAATATTGTATTTTATTGAATTTTGGAAGTTCAAAGTCATTGGTATTATATATATATATATATATATATATATATATATATATATATATATATATATATATATATATATATATATATGGGACGGTTCACTTGAGATTAAAAAAGTAGAGATTTTGAGATTCAACCTCAGCCATATATTTTTTATTTGTCGCTCTAATGCTCTAGAATACCGGCAACAATGGGTTATGGGTAATCATAAATGAATATATGACACAAAGGTATATCATAGACTATTATACATATGTATATGTATATGTCTAATCATAACTGACTATACATATATGTCTGTTCACAGGCTGAGTAATCATAAATGATTATGATAGTTGGTGACAGAAAAGGTGGTGGTGACAGAGGTGGCGGTGGTATAACTAACAGAGGTGACAGTGGTGGGGTCGGCTGGTCTTAGAGGTGGTGGTAATGGTGGTGGGGATGGTGGCGGATAAGAAAAGAACATGCCGCGTTGTATAATCATTTAAGATTATACGAAGTCTGTCGTACTAATACGCCGGAGGGTTAGAGCCGCAAATGTGAAATACGTGGTTGAGGTTGAATCTCAAGATCTCTATTTTATTTTTAATCTCAACGGAACCTACCTCTCTCTATCTCTCTCTCATATATATATATATATATATATATATATATATATATATATATATATATATATATATATATATATATATATATATATAACGGAGTCCTCAGTGGGGTTCGGGACGAGACTACCCACCCCTCCGCCCCCGCCCCCGATTTTATAAACAAATATCATCTATATAGGATCAGAGTTCACGGGTTCGGGATCCCACGAGTCTTTTTGACACCTTGTGACTTTTGTTATACATATAATGTTTTCATCAATTCTGGTTTTTTAAGATAGAATCGAATCAACTCTGTTATTTATTTATTTTTCTAGTGATTTTATGGATATTATATTTATTTATTTTTTATTTAGATTAACTTATTATAATTATCATCAAACTGAGTTTCACATGCTAGGAATTTAAGGGATAAGATTATCTTGCTTTCTCTTTTGTTGTAAACGACTATTGGATGTGTCGACATCATACATTTTCTAGTTGAAGTGTGAAAAAAGAAGAAAAGAGGTCTTTTTCTTATATATAGTAAATTGAGCTCGAAAATCTATATAAGTTTTAAATGTCACACAATTTCAAATACTAAATATTCTTTTATCTTTTCTTTTTTACTTATATCCTTTTTCAAATTTAATGGTTGTTTATGATATCTATTAAAATATAGTCGTTTTATAATATAGTGGTGATTTTATAATATCTATTATGCACAACTGTTATTTTTTATAATTATCCTAAATATTTATCAATGAACTAGAGAGTCATTCCTATATCAATATTTTGATTTACCATTCAATAAAAGCAAATATTAAAAAATTGCAACAAGTTAGCTATTGCTAAACTATTAAAAAAAAGATAAATAAATTATAAATCATACTGTCTAAACAACCCCACAGTTCGTTTCAAATTTCACTCTACTAACAGATTTCTATTAAAACAACAACAACAATAATAATAATAATAATAATAATAATAATAATAATAATTTTATCAACTAACAGATTTCTATTAAAACAACAATAATAATAATAATAATAATAATAATAATAATAATAATTTTCTAAATCGTTATGAGGTTTCAATGTATTTAGATGAAAACTTGTTTTAAGATAGTTTTTATATTAGAAAAAAAAATCAGATAATTAATAAACAATCGATCGTTTAACATGTACGTCACTAATTTGTATATTCTAACATGATTCCTTTAAATTATAATTTTAATAACCAAAAGAGGCTATCCTCTATCTAAAACAAAAGTTAAACTTATTTTGTAACTTATTAGTAAATGGTTTCATAAATTCAAATTCCCACCGATTAAACTACAATCCAATTAACAGCATTAAAATCATAGATCTTTACATTCTATAAAATATATCATCGATCAAATGATCATCAAACTGCCATATCACCGTATCGATCACCACCACGATTCATGCCGCCGGTGTAGCAGCAAACCACCGACGTCAGCTTCTTTCTTTACCATCGCCGCCATACTACCACCAGCAGCCGCCTGTTCAAAAGACTGCACTTGTTTTTTCAAGAATTTCATGTAATGGACAGCCTCTTCCAACATCGACGCCGTGTCCATCTTTGTACCACCGGGAACTAATCTCTGAAGTATCCGAATCCGCTCACTAATCCTCTCTCTCCGGTGCCTCGCCGCTACACTTTGTGGGTCCTTCGATATCTTCACGTTTCGTCTCTTCGGTGGCTTCACTGATTCCGGGTCAATCTGAACTGGCTGCAACGCCGCCATCTGGAATATCATCTCCCTCATCGCATCTACTGGAACCGGCTTACATGAGGTCTTGGATGGAGATGGCGGTGGCATCGAGTGACTGAAAAAGGATGGTTGTGGTTGCAGCGGTGGTGTTGTGGGGTGGCTGTTGGTATAGCTTTCGCCGGAGAATACTCTGTTTGGTGAACAAGAAAGGTGTTGGAAAGGTAGAGAGAATGGGTCTGGGAGCTTGTCGAGCTCCATCATTGATGTCATCGTCTCCATTTTTAGAAAGGAAATGTCTTTAACGGAATTAGGGTTTATTGTTTCCAGAGTAAATGATGAAAATAGCACTATAGCAGTGGTATGGAAATATGTGACAGGAAGGGTATAAATAACGACTTCACTTATCTATATTTTTATTTACTGACTTTTGCCCCTCATTTATGTGTGGCTTACTTCAGACTAGAGATAATTATTTAAGTTCACATATTTCAAAAAGATAAAAAAGAAACGATAATAATAATCATATGATAAAAGTAATAGACTTGGATGAGTTGTTGTATTTATTTTAAATTTTTTAGAATGACTAAATCAAATATATAGAAAAAGAAATCAAACTCCTTTTTAGGGAGGGAACCATCCAACTCTGTATCTACCGGATCCATAATTTTTTTTTTCTTTCTTTTTGTTGTTGTCGTCTCTCCTCTCCTCTAGATGGTGTCGTCTCCACCATGGAAACATCCATGAGAGAACGAGAACACAAACGTTCATCCTTTGTCATTCCCATCCCATTACCATAACCATCTCTATAGCCCTTCACCATCATCATCACTATCATCTTCACGACAACGCCATCTTAATTTCATTGTCGTATTGAGACTCACCTGCAATCAAAAGCATTGTAGACACACAAGAAAATACGTAGACAAGGGGGGATGGGTGGAGAAGAAACTTGGTGTTGGGTCAAGATACGTATATTGATTATGATTAATTTCTGAAATTATTTATCATGTTCATCAATGAACATATCGATTTAATTAGTTTATTATAATGTTATTATTATTAGATAATCATCCAAATTAAGGTATCCTTAATGTTCGAAAATCATCATTTTTTACCGTATGAATTCATTGATCCTTAATGGTTTGTTTCATGCACACATGGTTGTTAAAATGCTTTTGACCTAAATCTCAAGTAAAATTATGTTTAGCCTTCGGTATAATACAAATTACAACTTGAGTGGATTACCTAAAATCAAGAAGAGGGAGGAATAGCTTATTATGTTTAAGTGATAATCCACAAGTCCAACATACTTCCCTAATTCAAATGTGTAATGTTCAAACCGAAAATAAAGGATGAGTTACATGATGTAGATTTGTTCTATACCCAAAAAACTTTCATTTACATTTGGAATTTATAACACATAATTGCACATGGTAACTTATAATCTCACTACCTCTGAAGTTCTAGGTTCTATTTTGTAAAAAGTGAACATAGTTTTTTATAAATAGAAAAGAAATCAAAATCAAAGATTGAGATTCAATGCTTGGATTCACCATCGATTGAACACAAGAGGTTTGAATTTCAAAACTGAATTCATTACATCAAACAAATAAATTAAAAAAAAAAAAAAAAAACAATGCCTCAATCATATGCATAAGATTTTTTTTTTTTTTTTAGTTTTTTTCTTCAAATTAATAATTTTTCAATCTCTCTAATCCAAACAATATATCTTTTGTGTTTATAGGATCTTCGACTTGTGAGAGACAAATTTACTCATGTCATAAGTGGATTTGCATTTGTACATTTTCAGTCGGTTAGTTTATAGACTTTTCACTTGTCTTGTTGATGCAAAAAATGACCAATATACCCTTCCTTGTCTTAGGATAATTTCTCAGTAAAATTTATTATTTTTCCCTATCTATCCAACCTCGTAACTCAGCCATACGAATTCCGATTTGGGAAAACTTTATATCGTTGGAAAGCTTGTTAGGAGTACTACAAGCTCCATATTATTTGTTTGTCGGAATATGTCTAGAACGAAGTATTTAGTTGTGAACATGGCAAGTTAGAATATTACAATATTTCAAGTGTTTGAACAGCCAACTTCAAACGGTCATATCTCATTCATTACCTATCCATTTTGTCTAATTCTTTTTCTAGTGTACAATTAGTTTTATAGACTACAACACTGCTTTATAATGTTCTTTATATTTAGTTATGAATATCGACTTATTAAGCTTCAAAGTTGACACATTACAACTATCATGTTCCCAAATAAGTTTTTCATTAATTTTTGTCCAACTTTGCAACCAAGTAGATTTTTCATATGAACTCCTTCTAAGCTAAATCTTTTTTTATGGCTTCATTTTCAAGTCCACTATTATTGGGAGGGTTCCAATGTATTGGCGGACCGGTGCTGGTATGGCAGGTGTTGTGGCAACATGAACCACAACAGTCTTTTATCTCTTCGAGGGTTCTTGTGTTGTTTTACTCTTTCTATCTTTCTAGGACTTTCTTTTCTTGTTCTTAGGTATGTGGTATGGGGTGTCCTTGTAGGCAGCCCCTTGTTGGTGCCCTTGGTTATTACTACAGTTGGAGTTTTCGATACCTTTTCCGTTTTCATTTCCATTTGTGTTGTTAGCATTGAGTTGTACCATGACGACTATCACAACAGCTGTCACTGCGGCTTGGAAAGTAGCAGAGTCTATCCGTAGGATTGGTGTTTCGCCGATTGGCTGATTGTTTCCATGGGAAGACATGGTTCTGTTGCATGAGGAGAAACGAGCGTGTGAGTAACCATGGTCACTTCTATTTGTATCCATCCATTTATATTCACATATAAATTTCATGTGTGGTTGTACAATTCTCAATGCTTCAACCTAAATCCCGACGATGTATTTATGGTAAAAAGTAAAAATGGACATTGCACGAACGCTAAGTTTTTTATAATAGAATATCACTATTAATACAATTTAGTGAATTTGGATTACATGGAATTTTGTAGGGAGCACCTCTCTTAATTCTACTATTACTAGTTTTACCGAAGACATAATAAACCCAAGACATAGTGCGAGTAATGTAGTGACGCTCATATGCCGAAATAGTGCATGAGGTGCCTAGCCATTTTGCTAAATCCATGAGTGGCTCTTCTGCTCTCTGTTTTGCTATGGCTACCCTAGCCTCCGTTGCACCGAGTTGTTGTCTTAGGGTGGCCACTTCCTCCTCTAAGTAGCGTAGACGGTCGGCGAGGTCCTCCTGCTCTGTGGGCTGTATTGGTGATGTTCCCTATGGGTAAGGCTCACTAAGGTTCTCTCTGGTGCCTTTATCCTCGTTTGACTCCTCATCGGAATCGTCTCCCTCGTAGTCCATCTCCAAGTACTCTCAAGATTCACTTCTAGGTTTTCCTCATGGGCCTCTCCTGGTTCTTCCTCGATCCATTCGTTAGCCACTTTGGTAGGGTAGTAGGGGTCTTCGTGGTGGAATTCAACCATGTTGCCTGTGCGAGAAGAGAGGGATGAGAGACATGCAGAATATCTAAATGCGTGGGTTATATGGTATCTGAAAATACTCCTATAGTATTTTTAAACTTTATGTTCGATTCTAATGTCCTTTGCGTGCATAGTTGGTAAGTTTTAGACTTATTACAACACCACTATCACTCTTAAACATATGTTGGTCATATCGAAAATAAATATAGTTGATCAGGCTCTTTTTATTCCAGATATGATTACATAATTGTCCAGTTTTGACTGTAGTGTTCAACATCTAAATACTCTTGTTTTGTTCTTATTATGATACGGTTCTAGCAAGTATGTATACTTTTAGTCAGAGTGTTTTAGTCCCATTGTATTTATAGTTGTATATCTTGTATGGTTTGATATACTAGTTCATTATAAGCAATGCTTTGATATCAATCTGTCACACCCTCAAACCAGAACGACGTAAATGTCTGGGGGCGGATGACTTCATGTACAATATCATAACAATTGAATATGAATGAAACATAGCAACCAAACATCATACATTAGAATATACCAACATTCATTGTTTTACAATTTGTACTTGTTTATCAATTACACAAAAATAACATAGAGTATACGAAACATAGTTTGGTGTTTTGTAAAAACTAGTAGAGTGTAAATTCTTCGTAAATTCAAATAATGTTGTTATTCTCTGTGTATCTTTTCCTTGTAGAGTAATAATGATTATATCAAACCATTACTTTCTTAGTAGAGAACTGTAGTCTTAAACCATAAGACAATGATGAAAATGAATAGCGTACAAACATTAGTATATAGTTTCATTTCTTTTAATAAAACTAACGAAGTAAAGCTTTTCGTAAACCAAAATAGTGTTGTTAATCCCTATGTGAGTCGTTATAACCATACTAATGACCTAAAGTGCATGGCTTGACATTTTTCAGACGTCGGTTTCTTTAAGATACTTGTCAACCTAGACTAGCCTAGTCTAACTGTACTGAACAGCTCAGGTGTGGGGGTGTCAACCTCATATAGATCTATACACAGTTACCTCGCTCTCCCTCTAGAAGATTATGGTTATAACTAACAGGACTTACCACATACTCTAGGTAGGTACGACTAAAGGAGAGTCTCGCAAGAGCCTTAACAAATTTACGTGAACTATAACTCCATTTTACTTGCAACATACGTTAATTATGCCTTTAAAAAATTTATAAGCCCTTTGAGAGCATGGTTTTCCAACCCATACCAATTATAGTTTATTATGTTTGTTTGTCAGGACAACTTATATGATCATAAGTGTAAATATATGTAAAATAACATGTTTATATGCTTAAAAAAAGTATATTCAAACCATATAAACTTGCATCTAACACTAGTAATAGAGTTTTTAGCATGATAAAAATAATTTCTTGTTATTGACTTTTATGTCCTTGTTTTTAGAAAAAGTATAGAAAAATCATCGTAAGTCAAATTTTGGATCCGTAAACTCAGGGAGTTTGGATTTTGAGTCTTCTTTGTTCACAAGTTTTCTCATAATTTTTAACGGCCTCAAACCATTGTGAAAATGTTCATCTTCACAGGCTGGTCTGAAATTTTTCTGCAAATGATAGGCAATTTTGTAAAAATCTCCAAAAATTGTAAAAAATCGTATGAATGCGTGAGAGTAGTCATTGGAAAGGTATAAACCTGAAATATTTTCATGTAAAACAATTTAAAAAAATATTATATTCAAGGTGTTCAAAATAGTCTGTAAATGGACTATAACTTTTATGCGGAAGGCTGGTAATCAAGTGTATG